GACTTTAAATTTGGATGGAAGATGGTGACCTTTGTCTCTAAAAGGAAAATATTTTAGCCTTTAAAAAGGCTCATGATACCTTTATAATTGCGAAATATATGACTTATCACGATCCTTATATCATCCTAGAAACTTTCTTTTTTTTTTTCTAACAAATATAGCACTCGTACTCCTATGTAGAATGATATTTTGATTTTTTTTCTATTCAAAACTCTTCTCTTCTCTTTTATGTGCTTTTTGATACTTTACGAAAATAACTTGATTTAGTGATATTCATGAAGCAAAAGCTTTTACAAATATATGTTTTTGATACACAAGGGTTTGCTAAGAAAATGCTTCAAGTTGCTTAGAGGAACTAGGGTGCTTTTTGTTTTTTGCACCTTTTTCCTCTCCCGTTTGGTCTTTTTATCACTTTTTGGCCTTCTTTATACCGAAACAATAGCATATTTATGAGATAACTTAACTATCTTTGATTGTGATAATTTTCCTAGGAATTGGAAACTTTAATTGCAAGTAGTAAGTGTTGATGACAACATTGATTTTATAAAGAAATTGTGGTTACTTGGACTTAAATCGACCGACTAGAGGTTTGAGAGATCCATCTTTATGTTATTAAAAGTTGTCTTCGATAGAATGTTTATGGTGCTCCTTGAATTTTATTGAGATACGATGGATCTTATAATTAAAGACTATCGTTGAGATTACTACCGTCATTATAAGGGAATGTTATTTCTTATGTATTTGCATGGGTGAAGACGATATAATCGTGCTATGAAGTAGGGTTTCATCCGATTGTAATGATAAAAAATTCTTTCTTTTCTTTTTATTGGACTCTATTAGTGATTGTCCTTCTAAAATCTTTCTTGTCTTTTTATTGGACTTTATTTGTGATTGTCCTCCTAAAATCATATTGATGTGGACGATATCATCTTTTAGCACATCTTGTTGGGCATTGGCCCGGTCTAGTCTTTCTCTATATGTCTTGATGAACGGGTTAAGAAACTCTCTCGGCTATTAGCCTTTGTATTTCCTTTTGGGGAAATAATAATTTTTTGTGTTGTGATTAATATCTTGGTGATACAAACGAGTACCTTATTTGGTTACAAAGATTCAACATTCTCTCATTAAAGTAGGATATGTAATGTATGGTTTCCTTTTTATGATGATAAATACCTCTATTCGAGAGTTGTTTAGAGGAGTTATTTAGAATTTTTAAAAGACTAGGCGAGTTATGCATAAGTCCTCTAGAATTTTTCTTTAGACTAGAGCGAGTTAGCATAGATTTTTTCCTCTTTATTTTCTTTACTCGGTCGTTGGAAGCATGGTTGAGTTTATTGGGTGGCAATTACTTATTCCACTTTGATGTGACTCTTTACCACTTTTTTTTTAAAAACAAGGTAGAGGTTTCTGCTAGAGAAGACTTAGATTTTCTTTTATAAATTAGTGTTGTTGATGCCTTTTATATTGGCTTCGGTGGAAACAAATCCTAGAAGTTTGTTAACTCATAGCATTTCTTCATAGAAAAAAGATAAGTTTGATCGTTCTTTTCCTTTCTTTGAGAGATTGAGAACGTGTCTCTCATACTCTTTTCAACCGGAATGCTAGTGGAGAAGTAAGCCACCAACTTAAGGTGTAGGTCTTTGAAGCTAAGGATTGATTTGGGGTCTAAAGTATCGTACCACTTTATGATCACTCCTCAAAAAGTGATAGAAAGTACTTTGCACATGGCGTTCAAGTTTTGGATGACTAGCTCTAGATTTCCTCGAAAATTCTAGAAATATTTCCAAAGGTTGGTTGTGCCATTGTAGATGTCTAGGTTTATTTTTTTTTTATGGAGAACTCTCTTATGAGTTTGGCATTTAAGATATGCGAGGCAAGTGAAGAGACTCAAAGCTTATGATAGTAGTGGTCCAGTTCTTATTATGTGGCGACAACCACTGATTGTTTTTATTCCTATTGGCACTTAGGTTCGGAGCTCACCAAAAAGATTTATGATGATGATGAGTTATACCAATGTTGGTTTTTATGTCACTTTCTAGCTATTCTATGCTTACTTAGGATTGTGATGATATTTTCTTTTATCATCATTTCCTTTTCTCTTTAGGAGCTTTGATTGACTAGCTCTTTGCTAGAGTGATGGGTTTTGTGAGGTTCGAAGGGTGAAGGTGTTCTCTTTTTTTGCTCCTCACTCACTTTATTTGATCGCTCCTTCCTTGGTCGATCGATGAGGTGGTCTATCTTGATGAGGTGAGTTTGCCTATAATGGACTCGTTGAAGGAATGAAAACTTCTAATTAGAGGCCATGAAAAGGCCTTTTACATTTGTTACGTCGATAACGAGTGGCTAAAGACTTTACCGGCTCTCGAGTTGATATATAGGGTTTAGTTAGTGGCTTAATGCATTTTTGTATCTCCAACGTATCGACCGACCGAGCACTTGGCCGGCAAAGTCGAGCACGGATCTTGATGGAGTTTCTTAGTTCATAGCAATAGAGAAGTTCAAAGATGGAGAAATAAGATGATTTTGGGTTGGCTTTTTGGTTAATTTCTCACGTATAGCGCTATTGATAAGATCATGATCCTCAAATTATTTAAATGATTTGATGTTGTTTTTTCTTGGTTGATTGTAATGTCTTGACGATCTAAGGTGTGTACCTACAAAACAAGCCCTCTTTTAGCATTTAGAGGACTCATCAATGACTAAGTTAGTGTATGAAAAGAGTTGTTTAGCATGAATAAGCTTGATAGTATATTTTTTGGGGAGTTTACCTGAATATTCTTAGCAATATGTTTTGTTATATTTAAAGAAGATATATAGTACTATTTTGCTTGTATATATGAAGAGCGTAGAAAACCAAACCTATTGTGGGCGTCATATTAATATTTATATACGAAAGTCTACTTTTTAATTTGAACATATCCTTTCAACAGGACTGCCTGTGGCTCTGTTATAATAATTTGTAATGAAAATTTCTTGTGATGCATGAGGAAGTTTTACTCTTTGCCTTGTATTCTCACAAGATATGATGTTCATAGTAATGACAGATCAGGTATAAATAACTTAGTCATTGAGGGTCATTTTGGGTCGGGTTTCTCAAGAAAAGTTACGCCTTTTATTGAGCTAGTTTTTTTAGTGATCCATTATTTCTTAATGTATCAACTACTACACTAATACTTTTGAAAAAAAATAAAAACAATTAGAGTGAATTTTATATATAGCATAAGCAAATACTCTCATCAGCAAGATAAAAAAAAATCTCTCATTTATTTAATTTTTATTTAAAATATATTGATTATTAATTATACTTATTCCTTATTAATTAGTATTAGCTTGTAAACAAAAATAGGATTAAGATTTAGGATGTCCTTTTATTATTTTATTTGTCTTAATCGTATCCCACTATTAATTTTTTAAATAATCATGTGTCTTTACTCTTAATTTGCATATTAATTTCATCATTTCGACTAAATTTACCGGTAACTACATCTATTTTCAACGACAGATTCACAAGATGTTGGCACGTGATATTTTTTTTTCAAATTCTTTTTTTTTGAAAAAATTTAAAAATCCTAAAAAGATTTGAAAATAGATTTGCAAAATGCCACTCTTTTTCTTTACCTTTAAGTATAGGAATAAATAATTAATTTCATTTGTCAATTTTTTCATTTTGCTCTCTCTCAAATTTTGAAAAAAAATTTTAAAAAAATTCTAAAATGTCTTTCTTTTTATCTCGCCTTTTGCTTTTATTCTTATGTTATGAAAAAATTCTATAATTTTTTTTTTTTTGATTTGGATCTAAAATAAATTTTTATAATAAATTTCTAAACTAAATAAATAAAATTTTGCTTTTGTTCTTTACCATACATAAAAATAATTATAAAATCGTAAAATGGCTTTCTTTTTATATGCCTTCTGCTTTTATTCTTATGTGATGAAAAAATTTCATAATTTTTGTTTTGGATTTGAAATAAATTTTTATAATAAATTCTTGAAATAAATAAATAAAAATTTGCTTTTGTTCTTTTCTTTTTCGTACATAATTTTTTTTTTGAATTTGAGAGAAAGCAAAAAAAAAAAGAAAAAATAAATTATGGGAGTAAATTAATTATTTATTTCTATACATAAACATAGAGAAAATAGAGACATTTGGAAATTTTTATTTTTTCAGATTTTTTTATTTAAAAAACCGCTATATGTTAGTATTTTGTGTATCTGTTATTGAAAATTGATGTAGTTATCAAAACAATTTATCAAAAGAACAAAATTAAGATATAAATTAAGAATAAACGGTCATAATTATTGAAAACTTAGTAAAAAAATATGATTCAAACAAATAAAACCCTAAAAAGATTTTCTGTACCATTAATCCAAACAGAATACTTCCGAAAATGAATGCGTGATCAAAGCAATGCGTATTTGTTCATACGCATGCGTGATGAAAGCAATGGGTTACCCCTCGTCTTTAAAGTTGTCCTTTCACGGGGGAGGGAGATCCGGAATACAAAAATAGGGAGTGCAAAATTTAATGGTGACATCCCGGAAAAAAAAATGGCAAAAAGCAGGCGATAATAATAGAGAAATTGCCTGTTTATGTGATTTTATTTATTTATTTTTATGACTAAACTCTCGCCATATGTTTTTCATGTTTAAAACAAAAATGAAAGAATTTTTTGAAAAAGAAAATGGAAAAAAAATGTTCACGGTAAGGTTGGCGCAGTAGAAAATCCTAGTCTAGTATATTACTATCTTTTACGCATCACTCCATTCCCTTTTTTTTTTTTTTCCTGTATCAATTTTGGTTTGCACCATGCACGAGCTCCGTCAGTTTCAATTTTCAAGCCCCCTATATCTCTATATTTGAGAGCTATCTCCAACTATAAATACACTATACAACCCCTCAGTCCAGGTGCCAAACCCAGTCTTGGAATCCCAAAAAAATCACGCCTCTTTCATTCCATTCTACTTCGTTTTTCTTGTTCAACTTCTTTTGTTCCAAAAATATGGAAGAAGCACTTAGAAGGCTCAACGGAATGCCAACCCATCCACCGGAATCCAACCAGCACGAAGTCATGATCGCCGACCTTCAGAAGAAGTCCGCACCTACCACCGCAACAAACAAAAGGTCACTGAAAGAAAGTGGTGGCAATGTTGGGAACATGAGGTACCGTGGCGTACGCAGGAGGCCATGGGGTCGTTATGCTGCCGAGATAAGGGATCCTCAGTCTAAGGAACGGCGTTGGCTTGGCACTTTTGACACTGCTGAGGAGGCTGCGTGTGCCTATGATTTTGCAGCTCGAGCAATGCGGGGTCTCAAGGCTCGCACTAATTTCGTGTACCCCGATACACATTCTGCAGTTACTGTCCCTCATAATTTTCTCCCTCCATTTGCTTTCTCAAAATCGTCTCATCAGTCCTCTCGCCACTATAATATAATACCCTCTTCAAATTGGTCTTCTCTTGGTCACTCCCATGTGAGCGACTTCTCAGCTGGTGGGTCTGCACCACAGAAGAGTACTAGTGGCAGTACTGCTAATACTTCTTCTCTGAACATGCTTTTTCTTCGTGATTTCAGTAACTCCTCTTCAGGTTCGTCGTCTAATTATCATCCTCAACCTCTATATGATCACTTTCCCTGCATCAATGGGTCCTCCAATTCTACTCCTAGCACTTTCTCAGGGGGTTCTTTGGTGAATCCTTCTTGTAACACCAGTACTAGTCCATATAATTTCTCTGAAACTTTGGCAGACTCAACTGTGACTACTGTTCCCACCATGGATTTTCATCAAAACTATACTCCTGGTGTCCTGCGCAGGCCCAACGCTAACGCTGAAGAGTTGGAATTCTTTCCACAAGAACCATCTGATTCTGGTTTATTGCAAGAGATTATTCAAGGGTTTTTGCCTAAAAACTCCTCTGATGAGATTGAGTCTTCAAAAAGCTCTGGAGAGTCCATATTTGCACCGTCGTCTGAAATAACATCTGTGAGTCAGTCACTAGATGGGTCGAGTAGGGGCACGAGGATGAAGTGCTTTGTTAAAAATGAGCACCATGGTGCTTATCTTGATTATCATGGAAGGTCAGGACAGCTTGAGGGCTGTCACGGTACTGGAGTTGGTTCTTTTGAACTTCCGTACGGTAATGAGATGCCAATGAATCTTCATATGGGTCCTGACTCCATTTTGGATGACATCTTTCAGCATCCAGATCTTATGAGTGCCTTTGCAACTAGGTTCAAGAATCCTTGAGGCCTTCTTTTGATGCAACCACGTCTTCATGTTCTTATGCAAGCTAAAGAAGTCTATCAAACGGACTGTCCTTCTGTTTATTGACTACAAAATTTTTAGTTACTCAATGCTTAATTAGTTATAAGACTTCAACCCAAAAGATTAGCTACCTTAAGTTACTATGACTTCCTCTTTGAAATTTTATATGTTGTTCTTTTAACTCTCGAAGTCTCCGATTATATATATTCAAGTTAATTTCTTGTTTTGCTTACAATTGGTCTCTGCTTTCTCTCTATCACATCACAGCGTACATTTTCTTTCGTTGACTTTGGAACTGAAAAGGCTGTGTTTGGCTTGACTGCGTGTTCTTGTTTCCTACTATCTTTTTTAAACTGGAGTGTCAGTACATTTTCATGTTTTTGGTTCTTTTGTGAGACAGTATCATTTGAAAACCCTAATAGGTGAGCTGAAAATCATTCGTAGAATTCGGTGTTGCCAGGTATTCCCTGGGGAAAAGCAAAAAAAATCGGTACGTTACGTTGTCCAATGGTTTTTATGCCTTCCCGAGTTGTTGTTGCAAGTTCCGGTACTCCCTCCCTCTCTTTTTTGTTTACGTTAGTTACTTTGGCGAAGTGATGAGTTCCATAATTAAGATGATACCGGTAAATTAAGATCCAACAACTCCGATCTATTTTTCTTTCCTTTTTAACACTTTTAAATTATATCTTGAAGCATTACCTGATAAGTTGAGTCTTTTATTAAGTTTTTTAATTGAGATAATTTTTATATTTTTCATGTACTTGGTTCGTGCATAAAAAACAGAATTGGATGGTAAAATGATAGCTCTAAGTTTGTCACACTACAGTATAGAAAGTTTGTTGTCACACTATAGTATAGAAAGTTTTTGAAGATGAATGTCTATAATTCTTTAAGAGGAAATTGTAGCCAAATCGGTTCAGTAGTAGCATTTGCAAGGGCACAATATCTTGACTCTATTGACGATTGTGTAATACTTTGTTGCTTCTGGGCATTAACTCACACATCTAAAACACACATCGAAGCTTGCATAGAACTAGTATTTGAATAAATTAGTTTGTTAGAATTTAAATTTGTAATTTCTAGTATTTGAATAAATTAGTTTGTTAGAATTTGAATTTATGATTTCTTGTAAAAAATCACTATTATTGGATTACAGATTCTTTAGTTTGCTTCTTGGCAGATCAATTGATTAAAACCTTACCCAAAAAGGTGACAAATTCATTTGGTAGACTTTCGGTCAACAGGGCAACCAATTCAGTTAGCATCAGTGAAGGCTGCTAAAGTGGAGGTAAGTTGTAGTTCATGGCGAAGAGTAGAGCTCATTTATAGCTTGCCAATGTACATGAGTGGAAGCAATAGTAATTTGGCCCAATTTGTTCACACAAAAGGCAAATTTCAGAGGAGTTAAGGTGGCATATTGTAATGCACCAACTGTGCTCTTGTATGGCGTGGGATATGCAAGAGGCTGTCCGACATTCTTGGAAAGAGTAAATCGTGTTGCCATAAGTGTGGACATGGATTTGCATTTTCGTATGTTTAATTTCTTGAGTAAATCAGAAAGATATTTACTTTGATAAAAATGAATACCTTTGAAGGAGTAAGATACTTCCACCAAAAAAATGATGCAAGTTGCCTGGATCAAACAATGCAAACTCCTTGCTAAAAGATGAGACTATAGAATAAATGAGAGTTTAATTAGTCCCTATAAGAACCAAGTCATCAACATAAATCAGCATATTGATTCGATGCATGCCTTAAAAAATGAACGAGGTCGAGTCGGTTGGTAATTCCTGGAAGCCTTGTGATAATAGAAGTGGGAATAGCTTGAGAAACCAAGCTTTGGGAGCCGGCTTGAGGCCACAAAGAGCCTTGTTCAATTTGCGTACATGATATGAATAATCCTTTGCTTACAAACCCCAGTGGTTTGCTTCATGTAAACCTTTTGTCATAGTTGATCATTAAGAAAAGCATTAGAGATATCAAGTTGCTTCATGTAAAGCTTCTATTATAGTTGATCATTAAAAGCATTAGAGATATCAAGTTGCAGCAAGGTCCAGCCACTGGTTGCAGCTAAAGCAAGGATTGTTCGAACTGTACGTAGTAGTTTTGACAACTGGACTGAAAGTACTAGTACAATCGATTTTATATTCCTGCGTTTATTTTTTGACAACTAAGCGAGCTTTGAATCTTTCAACTAAGCCACCAGACTATCGTACGATGTGAAACACTCATCTGTTGCCAACAACATTAGTAGTTAAGAGAGATGGTATTAATGTTCGTGCTTCATTACCTATGAGGACTGCAACTTCAGCATTCATTGCATACTCCCATGCATTGAACCTGCTAGCTTGAGTGTTTTTGCTAGTTTCAACATCAACACATGTGGAAATAATGGCCGAATGAGCTTGTTTGGTCTTGGCCATTGTTGATGGCCGCAAGACCATAGTGTGCGTGCGTTGAGGTTGTTAAACAGGAGGGGAAGAAGCTGCTTGTGTCATTTAAATCCACCCATAAATTTATGTCGTTAGGATCACAAAGATGATGCTGTTTGACAGGTTCGATGCAACACTAGCAAAATGAGGGCTATGGTGCTGCTGCTGGAAAGATTCGACAACAACACTTACAGTAAGAGAACAATGATGCTGTTGCTGGATTTATGTTGGAACAATGGCTCATGCTACTGTTTCCATCCCTATTGCTGTTGTTCTAGCAATTGTTTTTGTCAAAAAATAAAAAATAAAAAAATTATAATTTTAATTTAAAATTTTAAGTTATTAGATGATGCCTTAAGATATAGGATATGATTTATATTGTTATCTAAAACACAAAGCCTTAAGTTATTTGATGAGATTTCAGTATATAATTTATTTATTTTTTTCAAAAACACATCCTTAAGTAAAAGTCTTTTTAATTTTAAATCTAGTATAAAAATTTACATTATATTGTACTTATTTTTTTAATTAATTAAAAAAAATAAGAGCGATAGGATTCGAATTTTTGATTGTTTCGTTAGTAATATTCTAATATCATTTTAAATAATCATCTTAACTTAAGAATTTAACCTACTAAGTGAAATCTTAAGATATAATTTATATTATTTTCTAACACATGCTATCGATATAATATTGTTTTTGATAATACATTTTGATTATGTTTGGAAGTTATTTTCAAAACACGTTTGATTTGGACAACCATCAGTTTTTAAATGGTTTTGATATCACGTTGTACTTAAATAAAAAAAAACATTAAAATTTAAAAGCTTTTTTTACAAAATCACTTGCACGACATCACTAATCACATATTAAACGTAAAAGTATAATTGATTGATAATTATTCATCTCGAGGAAACTCGAAAATAATTATATACTTATTACTATAAAATGAGATAAATTATGTTTATATATTTTTGAGAATTCTGTAACATAAATATTAGTAGTTTGCCTTGTATGTATGTTTCTAAATAATTAAGTTTACCAAAGTTAATTTGAAACTCCCAACACTAACAGATATTTGCTATTAATATTTATTATTAAATTACACATGATTTATTTTTTCATAGAAGATTATGATGGAGAAATGATGCAATGTGAGTGTTAACTTAAAGGAGTGAGGGGAATTTTGTTTAGAGAAAAACATTTGGATTTATTTATTTATTTGTTTATTTATTATTATTATTATTATTATTGTAAAACTCACTATTCAGTTTTCCTTTTTAAGGTTTCTTCAATTGAATTTGGTTCTAAATGGGTTGCTATGTTTGAATGTTATACTAATTCTAATTAATTTCCTTTGCGTTGTGGTTTGGGTGCAATGGAGATTTACTTTATAAGATTTATGTGTGGAATTATTTGCACTTTTCTCTTAAGGCTCCTTAATTAAACTTTATTTTTAATGAAATTCTTAACATGGAAGATATAAGTAGTAGGTTGGTTAGTAGGAGTTGTGTTAGATCTCTTTTTCTAGTATTTACATATGTAACCTAATTGAATTTCCTCTAATAGGACAAAGGTGTTTATGGGATAGAACTAATTCCATGAGCAGGGTAGATAGGGTCTTCGCCAGTGCTGATATATAGGATGCTGCAGTTCCCTAATAAATTGATTGGCCCACAAAGGGCTCTACTTGATCATTATTGCCCTCTTTACCTTGGAACTGACATAGTTGATTGGGATTAATGGAAATCTTTTCGATTCCTAGATTGTTGGTGGCTCCATCGGGTTTCAGTGATTCTTTCAGAGTACGTGGCAGGAGGCCGGTTTATTCTGCCAAGTCTTGCCGTTTTAGAGATTTCAAAAAATTGAGTTTGCATGGGAAAGAACTCCCAGACTAGAATAGGATTTCTTTTGGCATCTAGACAAGCAGTTAAAGGAGTTTTCCTCTTTTGAGTTGGATAGTTACAAGTTCAAGCAGTCTTTACTGTGCATGGTCTACTAGCAGCAATTGTAGGATTCGTTGTAGAGACAAAATAAAGGTTAGGGTTTTGTGGTGTAAGTTAGGTGATTGCGAATTTGGAATATGCGACTTTTTCCCTTAGCTGCATCCATCAAATATAGGAGAATTGCTATTACTAAAATTACCAGGGATGGACATGAGATTGATGATCCGAAAGAAATCCAGTATGAAGCAATTGATTTTTTTCTCTAGGCTGTTTTCCCTACCTGACTGGACTCGGCCATCCCTAGGTTGTCATGGTTCTAGAAGACTCTACAATGATTCGGTACGGGGTGAATGGATACGGTTTTTCGGCTCGCTTTTCCCTTCAATTCCGTGAACTAATTATTCTTATGATTCATCTTTCTATTTTGATTTTTTTTTAATAATATGACCTCTCTATTTATTTATTTATTTATCACATTCTTATACTCAGAATTTTTTAATGTGGCCCATTCCATTATTTTTCGGTAATTTTGATATTTTCTTAAAATAGCCTCTCTTTTCTTTTTTTTTCTTACTTATTGCATTTTTATACTCTTTAAATTTTTTTTTAATGTTTGGTCATTTTTTTAAGCAAATGTGACAGGTAGTAAAAAAATTGATTGTGCAATGTTATATTATATAAAATTGCCATATGACCAAAAGAAAAAAAAGAGCTGAAAATAAAATAAAAAGAAAAAAAAACCTCTAAAGAAATAGAAGTTAAAATTTCTTTTCTTTTTCCCAAAAATCAAACTTTCGCTCCCCTTTATCTTCAACGATCTTTAAAACTTCACATTTTCCATTTTTGTTTCTCATTCATACTCGAAATTCTTTACAAACTCATATACATAGTCTTGTGATAATTATTAAAGTATCATCTCATCTAAAAGCTTAAGTTTATAGATGAGATCTCATAATATAACTTATATTAGTATTTAACATATTCATTTAAGTGAAAGTTTCAACATTTGAGCTTCAAATTTACACGAGTTCATATTGCTTTGTATTTAATATTTGAGAAATTAAGGATAGTGAGACTTGAACTCAAGACCACATGGTTAATCAAGCTCGATATCATATTAAATAATCATTTCGCTTTTAGGTAAGGTCCCGTAATATAATTTATACTAATCTCTTACACACCCTATCAAGTGAAAACCCCAATATTTGAGCTCGAACTTGCACACATGTCCACATTACCTTGTGCTTAATACTTGAGAAATTAGAGATGATGAGATTTGAACTCGGGATCACATGATTAATCAAACCCCGATACTATGTTAAAGAACCATCTCATCTAAAAACTTAAACTTATAGGTAAGACCTCATAATATAATTTATATTAATCTCTAATTTTATATATATATAATCTTGAATCATATGATAACCATGATAAAAAGTTGTGAAATAAAGAATTTTTTTTTTTTTTTGAAAAATGGAAAAGCAAGGCAGACTCGGTGAAGTAAAGAATATTAAGCACTTATGGAAATGAAGTATTTCTTGATAACTTCAAGAGAATATACTTATCGAAATTAATGTTGTAGTTATGTACGACATTTAAAAACTTTAATTCAACGGTTCCCAGCTGAGTGATTCCCATCCCAAGCTTCAAACAGTTTTTCCCGACATGGTAGCGTACAAATGTTGGAAGATCAAGCTTTCATTAAAGTCCTTCACTGCTGCAACCATCATAACCCCATTCGTACGGACATTGGCATATCCCGATCAATTTACCTTTGCCAGACTATCAAGATACGCAGGCAGTACTCCACATCCACATCCTGTGGGTCTTTTGTTTCTTCTGTTTGGTTTTTGACCCTATGTGTCATTTGTCCAAAAGGATTGAGGCTTTCCTTTCACAACTAGGACGATATGGCAAGTTTGGCAATTCATTCCATTTTCTCTATGCTGGAAAGCAACAAGGATTGAGCCACGACATGACCACTTTGACACAAATACATATATATCCAACCACGTGAAATTAAGTTTAATTTCTCCGATCTAATCTTGAGGGTTTCCTAGCTAATTAATAGGAAATGGATTAAGAACTATGGTTCCATTCCAAAACCAAGCCATGAGTATAATTTTTCTTGGATCCACGAATTTCAGTTGAGTTGAATACCTTTGATCGAATCGGAAAATTTCAAGTGGGCTTAATTGCATGCAATTAAGTTGAATTAAAAATACTATTTCAACTCTTAGTTTTATCTTAATGGATCATATATATAGACATCATTATAAATTATACATCCAACCACTCCTTAACTGGAGACCCTTGGAAAAAATTATCGATTGCCTTCCATCCATAAAAAGATAATGGGATATGAAGTAATTGTATTTTATATTTTTTCAATTTGAATGTATGGACTGATATTTTTATTTATTAAAGTACATGTATTCATAAATTTGTTCAATCAAATATTTCCCTTGCACTTTTTTCAAAAAGTCAACTAAGGCGAAGTTATCTCTTTAATAGGTGGAATCCATGTGCCAGAAATAACTATAATTTTTCTAATTTTCAAAGTTTTAGTTCTCTTAAAAGGAGATTGGAAAAAAATAAACATAAGAAAAGCTTACAAGAAGAAATAAAATTAATTAATATGTTATTCATATTAACATCACACGTGTGAGAACTGTATTTCAATGTGAACAAGCTAAAACTAATGAAGGCAAAGTAGATGTTATTTACATCTAATTTAATCGGAAATTAAAAATCCATTTAGATGTTTTTATATATATATATATATCAAACTAATGGGGATGAACTTATTAGAACGAAGAAAATTAGCAGAGAAATTAGCAAGGCTTTGAAAGTTGGAGGCAGACCTGTTAACGAATATATATAAGTTGGGCATCCCTACAAAAAAAACATTGTTGGCAGCCCTACTCGATAACTTACAGTTATTACAGACCTCTCCTGACTAAATTGTTCCCAATACGCATCCTCTTTATTCTCTGAGCTGTTTCCTCTGGTATTTTATCCTCAGCTGAAAAGCCTGCTCAAGTTATTACTGAAACCTTTTCTGTTTTTGGCAAAAAATAAATTTTTTAAAAAATAATCTGAGGACTGATAGATCTCCTATTTCAATGTCCTCCATCGCTCCCACACTAAAACGCGGTTAATGCGTGCATGCTAATTCCATGCATGACCCATAATTCCTTATCTGACACCTGCACCCCTCCACAGTCTTGCCGCCTGCATGCGAGTGCAACTATTTTAATGGCCAAAATAATTGATAAAAACAATCAAAAGTATTAGGATAATATAAGTTAATTTGTTATATATAGTTTAAATAGCAGCTACATATATATGTATGAATGTTGTTGTGCGGTGATTTTGTTTCCACCTTGCAAGCGGCAGACGTCAGTTTTTGGTCCTACGTACAAAACATTCGCTGAGTTATTAAAAAAAAAAAACAAAAAACAGATTTAATTTATATTAGTTTTTTGTCCACGGATATTTTCTATCATAGTTTTTCCTTTTTTACAATGATCATGGGCATTTCTGCATTAATTTATTCCTCACATCAGTTTAGTGTTCGTAAATAATTTTTTGTAATTGCAATCTTAAAGTTAAGTTAATTAATTTAAAGAGGAAGATGGTGGTAGAACTTGAGTGTGACTCCATGATAAAATCCGAGGAAGGAGTTTTGTTAATAAAATTGTTTTTTTTTCCTTTTCATTCTAATAATTTTTGTGTTTTGTCAATTTTTATTGTTGATTTTTTTTTATTCATTAAGAGACCCGCTAGATCCTAGGCTTCATAATAAGAGATAATTTTTTATTACATAATAACTAATTGAATTAAAGGAATTAGGACTTAATTATATTTACTGAAAAAGGCTGCTGAATATATAATATCTAGACTAATTAAGTCTACTTGTACTGCAATCTTCTATAATAAAAGGCTCTATATTGACTCTTAAAAAGTTATAGTATTGTCGGTTCTTTTTTAAATTTGTTCTTGATGAAAGTTAGAAGACATTTTTATACACTGTTCAGAAAATCCTCTATATTATTTTTATATTTAATTTTTGAACTCCAATTTTGAAGCTGATATTGAAGATAATTTATTACCTTCATTCTTTTGAATATATTAAATTAATATATAAAAAAGGGCCTTTTGACATTGTTCTTACCTTTGATTACCCAATTTAAGCCATGTCGGTTTCACCCGCTGTGAGGGAAAGACACATTGCTTTCACCTCGATTTATTAATTATTATTATTTGCCCTCCTCTGGCTCACCACCGTTTATGCGCCACGAGTGCTCGCGGTCTCTGTCACGTGAAGCAATCAAGATCCGTGGCACTTTACACCCTTGCTATTTCCTAGAGCTTAGAAAACCGAAGGTCTTTCAATCTTTTAGGCAAGCTTTTCAGGCATGTAGGAGGCAACTAGGGTAGTCGAGCTCGTAAATATTGCGGCTGGTTGACTTTTTTGTACATCGAATATCTCCAAATAACGGGTACAAAACATTTATTAAGATAATAATTGACATTTAATACAATTTTTAAAATTTCCAATTTCAATAATTACTATTACTGTAACACTAAAATAAGTGAGGGTATTACTGTAACACTAAAATAAGTGAAGGTTTTCAACAGTGATTTTCACTGTTAACTTTATAAGAAAACCACTATTCATTTTATTGATAATTTTTAAGTTGTTTCATTTTAATCCTTAAAAATTTAAAATAAAAATTTTAATCCTCTAGCTAATGCATTACACATGTTTTTTTTTCATCAATTTATGTTTTTTTTGTTTAATTGAGCGTTAAAATTTTAAAATATCAATTGTTATTTTTTCACATAAACCGACAATTACATAATATATACGATATGTTTTTAGATTTTAAAATAAATATAAATTACTCTTATTGTTTAAAATTGATCTTTTCGATAAAAATTCTTAT